ACGACCATGCAAACAAACACTTGTCGCCTGACACAAAACACCCCCAACTACACCACCTCACAACACCATCCCTCACCCACCTCACCTGCCTCCCACACCAATTGCGGTTGACGAGACCACTTGAAAGTGTGTTGTTTATGCCTGTGTGAGGAATGTGTTCACCCTCCCACCCTTATGCCTCTGACATTTGTCCTCCACTTGGCCTCCGTGTAATGCTGACCTCCTCCCCTTTACCACCAGTCGTCACTTACTTCAGTGCATTTCACTCCACTCACCCACGCACACAATCTCCCTCCACTGCCCTCTCCTCCATCGCCTCCACTTCGTTGCCTTCTCCACTTCCCCTCCCCTTGTTGGGTGGGGAGCACCACTTATCACCACCACTCCTCACAACTCATCACCGACTCGTGTGTGTGTGTGTGGCCACCGAGTGCCGCACTGGTCGAGTAGGCAGAGACGATGTCCACACTGCGAGCATTGTAAATCAGAGTGAAGCACGTGGATGGTGACACAGTCATGCAGCCTTTCTGCAATCGCACTACCACCTACCACCACTAGTCATTGGTGAGTGCAATTGAGGATGCACTACTTCTACTCGTGGCAGCAGGTGGGTGGAGGACTGAGGTGGCAGGTCACCTCATTACGCGTACCACTTGACAGACAGACAGACAGACAGTCAGTCAGAGAGGTGGTAGCGAGAGAGAAGGCGGCAGTGAGATAGGTGTGGACCGAGGCATTTGTGCTGAGTGTTGAAAGATGAAGGGATAACTGAACCAGTGTATAGGGATCCGATATGACAGTTGGCTAACGCTTGGACTAGTAGAAAGTATGGTAAATGGACTGCTAGGCAGAGCATTTAAAATGAAGGTTGAACACTTCGTTACTTCTGTTTTAAAGAGTCGGATGTTTGCCTCATTTGCTTCCTCAGATGCATGTCTAAACTGAACGATTAAGGTAATCTTATGGATATGAACGGTGAATAGGGCTCGATGAGTGAGAAAATAAATAAATAAATAAATAAATGCGTGGATGCACAATCGGCCAATCAGAAAGCGAGGCAACCGATCTGAAACAGACCCTCCTCCTCCTCCTCCTCCTTCCTCATTTAGAAGCCCATCCCCATCCTCCCCCCCCCCAATGCGCCTACTCTAGAGGGTAATTTGAAACACCAGACAAGACTAGCAGTCTCCAAATATCGTGATTAAAAAAAAAAAGGGCAAAAGAGTTTTCCTTCCACGTGAGAATGAAGCCTATTGTATTATCCACCTCGAGGTAGGTGAGGTGACAAGACATTGACAACTTACTCCATTTTTTACGATAAAATCAACCAACCACAATAAATAACTAAAAATGATTTTTTTACAAAAAAAACAACCTTTCTTTTTCAAATTTGTTAAACTATATGTCTCATTCTACCTGTTGTCTTCGTTCACCACGAACAATTCTTTGGAAGGCGATAAACGCAGCTCTGGTTTGATGTTAAGGATTTTCTCTCTCTCTCTCTCTCACCAGGGTGATAAACTCCTGGGAGCAATAAAATGAGGCGAGTAAGAGGACTGGAAATGAGAGAATGAGGACAAGGCAGGACCTTTCCACCTCCTCCTCTTCCTCTCACCTTCTTGCCTTTCCCCTTTACCCCATCATAAGGTCCGAGTCCTTGTAGGGACCAGTGTGAAGTCCAGTTGTGTCGTGTCATGTCATGTCATGCAATGCCACGTCATGCCTGGTAAGAAGCAGGTAACTTCTTTTTGCTGAATCATTAGCCCTAGTAGTCCCTTGAGGAAAGCAAACCAAGTGATTCTTCCTCCACTGTCAGCCAAAGAACTTCGTCTAGATTTTACCAAACATACACAAGCAGACAAACAGAAACGAGAAATCAAAGCTGTCACATTTCTTTAAAGGTTCTAACAGCAATCAATTTGATGCTTCTGTAAAAGCCAAAATGGAAGACAGTAAAATTGATGCAGAAGTGCTGTTAGATTGTAACTTTGACAGGTGATAAGGAGTGTGAACAAATTACTCTGACATTTATTTCAACCACCTTCAATGGAAATGAAGGGTCGCCTTGCATTCCTTTCATCATCACCACCACAGCCATCGTCACCTCCAACACCACAACCCATAGCACACCAATGCTTAAACCGCAGCAGGGCGTTGCTATCCCCTCGAAGTCTACAAACACTGCGGGCTTCAAATTTTCCACCTCCAAGTAGAGACTGTGGAGAATGCATCCACATAACACGATGAGATTCTTTTTTTGTTTCTTTTTGCAGATTCCATTTCAATGCCGACAAGTCAGTAAAATCCACATTTTAGTTAAAAATAAGAGGCCTCCGCTTGACAACGCAATGACATCTTCAAACTGTCATTAAGGGAATCCAAGAGTTGTCATGACGATGATGAAATGGATGCAAGAGGAAATACTTGGGTTACTGCTACACCACAGCAGTGTAGAGGCTTGAGACGTTTTCTGCGCTGCGCTCTCAGGAAAGGCAGGCAGGAGAGGAGAACGAGGAAGTGAAAACGGAAGAGGCTATCCAACTCATCCAATAAATGTGCGCTTCTTCATCATCTCATCGCTAGACGACTAAGCGAATCAAAAGTCAAGCAGTGACTTCGTTTGAGACCTAACAAACTTGTAAAGATTTAAGAATGGCAAAAAAAGAAGTCGATAGACTTTATCCCTTGGCGGTGGGAAAAAAGTTGCAAAACTTGCGAAGTCTCAAGCCTCAAATCCATGCCAAAAAAGGCGGTGCGACTTGAGAAGATGACAGAAAAAGTCATAATTGGACAAACGGGGTTGAGAAAATCCAGCCATGGATGTGAGAATCGAAAAAAACAAACAAACAAACAAACAAACAAAGGTTTTAAATCCTACCAGAACGATCGGATTTGGACTCCTCATCCTCTGTATTATCAACAGTGCCAGCAACTGAAGAGATGGAGGCTTCAAGTCCAAGGAAAGCAGAAGCATTGGAGGCGAGAGCAGAAACGGAGGGAAGAGTGGTTTTAGCAGCAAGAATGGCTCGAGAGATATCCTCCAACCACCTGTCACGTTGCCATTCGCTGGGTGCTGCTACCACGAAACAACGATTATCAGCGTAGACAGTAAAACTTGTCGGCGATTCAGCCTCCTCCACCATTAGATCTTGCAGTGGAAATTGTCCATGAACCTGTTGGAGAAGGTGAAATAAAATAAGACATTTGTTCAAGACAGACATCAAGATTGTTGAAAGTAAATACCCAAATTTTCTGCTTTACATTTGAGTTGCCTGCATAACTGTGAAGCCGCCAAAGCACCTGTCAATCCGTGCATCAGTGAATTTCCATATCCAATCCTTACAAAGGCTTTAAGCGATCCCTGCATTCATGCAGTGAGCCATTAACATTTCCATAAAACCGTTTATTTTAACCATCCATTCTGGCCCCACTTCCACCCACTCTCCCAACATTTCATCAGTACATCCATTCATCTATTCATCCATTCGAACCTTAATATTTACGACCAGCACAAATGCCTCGGTCCAAACCTATCTCACTACCGCCTTCTCTCTCTCTACCACCTCTCTGACTGACTGACTGACTGACTGACTACTGTCTGTCTGTCAAGTGGTACGCGTAATGAGGTGACCTGCCATCTGCCACCTGCTGACACGAGTAGAAGTAGTGCATCCTCAATTGCACTCACCAATGACTAGTGGTGGTAGGTGGTAGTGCGATTGCAGAAAGGCTGCATGACTGTGTCACCATCCACGTGCTTCACTCTGATTTACAATGCTCTCAGTAATGAACATCGTCTCTGCCTACTCGACCAGTGTGGCACTCGGTGGCCACACACACACACACACACGACTCGGTGATGAGAGTGACGTGGATGAGTTGTGAGGAGTGGTGGTGATAAGTGGTGCTGCGTGCTCGTTCCATTCACCCACCGACACACCCACCCACCCAACAAGGGGAGGGGAAGTGGAGAAGGCAACGAAGTGGAGGCGATGGAGGAGAGGGCAGTGGAGGGAGATTGTGTGCGTGGGTGAGTGGAGTGAAATGCACTGAAGTAAGTGACGACTGGTGGTAAAGGGGAGGAGGTCAGCATTACACGGAGGCCAAGTGGAGGACAAATGTCAGAGGCATAAGGGTGGGAGGGTGAACACATTCCTCACACAGGCAT